GAAAAGTCTCAAGTCCTTCCTTTTTGCAGATTCTATCAATCAAACATACATTAAACTTCATATTGTAATTATCCCTTATTACGATTATCACTATTCATCACCAAGGATGAAACCTAGAGCATCTAATGTTGAATGTGTAATTATTTTTAATTCACATTTCTTTACTTAAATTATAGCAGCATCTTCAAATTACTGTCTCTAGAAGCTCAGATCCTCTGTAGACCAGTTTCTAGCTAAAGATGTTTTCTTATGCTCACTGAGCAGCATACCATGCTGAAACGTTACTGAAATATGCATTGCTTAATCTATTTTATTTTTATCTAAAATAGTTGTTCTGTTCTAGGATATATGGTGTTAAATACTGATTATAGGGGAGTGTGTGTGAAGGGGGGTGAGTAGGTGCTCAATTATATTTTGGTTTTCAGAGATTGTTCACACTCCAAAGACACCTTTCAGATTTCAGGAAATCTGATTTTATACTATACTTGTGAGCACCAATATGTTTCATGCTTATCTACAACATTAGTTTCATAGCAGCTAATGTAACTCAGAGGCCAAATAGTACAAGAATACTAAAACCAGATTAAAATGAAAAACAAAACTGAAGACATAAATTAGATATACAATACTATGTGGTACTGTCAAGATTCTATTGTCACTTGTAGATATGTTAATGCTAATATGGGAACTTCATCTTTTACATTTGATGTGATTCAACTGTAGAAAGTGTTGGCTGAAAAATTAAAAGCAACAACAAAAATAATGATCATTTTTCCCTCAAAAAGTAAAAAAACACTTCCATTTTACATCATCTAACAGATTATATGAAAGAAAATGAGGATAAACTAGAGAAAGAATGAGAAATACATAGGCTTTATGTGGACTTCATTTCAAAGTTCAAAGATTTTAAATCATCTAGTGAGTTTATTTTTAACAAGCATCAATTAATTATAAAAGAAAGTCTGCATAATCTGCACTTAAAGCTAGAAGATATTTGTGGTTTGGGGTTTGTTTTGGTTTTGATTTTTTTAATAGATTGCTTTTGTTCTTTTTAAAGGAAAATGAGGCCAAAATTTTGAATGCTACCTTGCAGCAGCAACACATATCTGGATATTATTTGCTTATGTTCTAATAACTCAGATGTTCAGCAACCCAATTCCTGGATATTTTTTGTCTGTGTAAAGACTCATTTGTATTTACACTATACATTTTATCTAAGAATCCTTGAAGATGGTACTTAAGTTACCAGCCAAGCTGCACTTAAATGTGTCTCACAGTAACAGCACTTTCCACTCTTACTCCCCTTAAGGACAACCCTTTCTCTTCAGTGTGTGCAGTGATAGGAACCAAGTATCTCTGCCTACTGTGGATAGACTCATTACTGATTGTGATAAGATTTGGCAGACTGGCTGCAATAGCTGTTAGAAAAGAAAAAGGCTTTTTACCCGGCAGTAGGTGTCTACTGCATCTGTGAAACATCACAGAAGTAGAAACCTAATGTTCTGATGCAGGTAGGATAACTTTGTTGCTTGAATAGCTTTTCTGAAAGAAAGACAAGGTGGAAAATTATGAGCGCCACCAAAAAGACAGCACTGTGTTGATATTTAAATGGGATTGAGGAGATTTTATTCGAGAAACAGTGGAATTGCCTGTGTAAATGTAGATAAGAAACTATGAAAAATCTCAGACCTGCTTTTAACTCTGCGCCTGAATTCTGATTTACATCACCAAATATCACATTTTTACTAGTCACAGATTTACTTTAGCAGTTACTGTTCATCATCCCTTACTTTTACGAACACAAACAGTGAAAGCAGAGTAATGTATATGTGAAGACAGAACATCAGAATCTCTTTACTATTGTGATGAAATTCATGCAATGCTGACATCCAGGTAAATCTTGCTTTTAATTAAACTGAAAAGCCTGATTGAATTCTTACTTCCAGTATGTTGCAATAGATTGCAAAAATGAAGAAGAAACACAATACAGACAAACTGCAAAATACTTCAGCAAACAAATAATTTAATTTTCTTAGTACTGTCCCCAACAATTCCCAACTAGATGGAGAACTCAAGATTTTTGAAATGTACAAGATGGAATCTGTCCATAACAGCATTAAGCATTGAAATTTTACTATATTACTTATAGGGTGTTTTCTTAGCAATTCTTAAAAAACTCTCTCCTTGAAAATTACTATTTTTGAGTCTGACTTCTTTAGAGCTACTGCCAGTGCTATCTGCTGTGGCTAGATCAGAGGATGAAACACACCAGTGTCAGTGTCTCCTTTGTAATTTCTCAGGAGACCAAGATTCATTTCTCACTCAGACTTCACAGCCCAGATCCCTCTAGATTTTACATAGTAACTGACCCTTTCCTGTCGCTATCATAGTTTTCCACATCACTGGGCTGACATACATACTGTAATGAACTGACTATGATTCTGAGCTTGGATAAACAATGAAAACTGCGCAACCCTTTAGTAAGCAACTACTGCTGCACTTCTAGTTCCAGAAACCGAGACAATTTTCTGACTGATTTGAAAAGCTATGAGAAAGAAGGCTTGTCACATCTGCACATTTTCTTCCTTATTTGTTCATGTACAGTTTAACATCTACATGAATCTTCCAGTGCCTCAATAAGCAGAGCTAAATTGTTTAATTCACTTCCTTTTTAGGTAGAACACTTAAGATTTTTCTGAAAGAAAGTAGTTCCTCCTGCATTTTATGTGAGACTTATCTCAGCAAACTAAATATGTTCTCCAAATACCTTCTTCTTTCATTCAATAAAATTGCTGCCTGTGTGAGTGTCCCTTTGCACAAAATTCAGTTTCACATTTGCTACTGTAGGAATCTTGCTGATAATGTAGTGGCCGTGCCTAAAATCTGTCTGTGCTATGTTTATGCTATATAGCTGCCTTTTAATGATATTTAGAGAAATTTAGGATTCCAAAATCAGAATCAGTAGGAAAGCACCTTTTCTTGTCAGAAAAAGTGTGGACTGGGGCATGTATGGGCTTCTATGAAGATAGGCTGAGAAAGCTGGGGCTGTTCAGCCTGGAGAAGAGAAGGCTGCATGGAGACCTCATAGCAGCCTTCCAGTATCTGAAGGGGGGCTATAAGGATGTTGGGGAGGGATTCTTCTTTAGGGATTGGAGTGACAGGACAAGGGGTAACAGGTTAAAACTTAAACGGGAAGTTCAGATTGGATATGAGGAAGAAGTTCTTTACTGTAAGGGTGGTGAGGCACTGGAATGGGTTGCCCAAGGAAGCTGTGAATGTTCCATCCCTGCCAGTGTTCAAGGCCAGGTTGGACAGAGCCTTGGGTGACACGGTTTAGCGTGAGGTGTCCCTGCCCATGGCAGTGGTGTTGGAACTTGATGATCTTAAGGTCCTTTCCAACCCTAAATATTCTATGATCCTGTGATTCTATGTGTCACAGACTCCAACACCTTATCGGTCTCTGACCTCAGAGAGAATACTAAGTTTCTCATGTATAAGCCATCGTGAAATAGAAATAAGAGTATCTCTTCAAGGACTGCCTAGGAGGAGACACTAATAGTTGAAAAATGGCTTTTGAAAAGGCTGTGTACATCAAACCAACGAATGTCAAACTTCTGTTGTAAACATCCTCTAAAAATTAATAATATATTTTACAGGATTACAGCTGCAGGATTATAATAAATTCCTGAATTCATGCAAAACTCAAAATAATATTTTAAATTTAATCTGATTTTTGAGATTAATTCAGTACTGAATCTTCTTTTTTTTTTTTTCTTCTTTTTTAGGCAATAGAGAATGTTTCTGTTTTTCTTAGTCAAGTTTATTTCAGCCTATTCATAAACCTTGCACAGCAATGCTGTACATTATGCATACTGCAATTGCTGATACCAGTCCCCATTTGGGTCTTTACAATAGCCAAATATTTGCTACAGTGTGTCACTGTATGTCCCTTATGGGGGTTTCAAATGGATATGTCAAGGTAGGTTTGCATAAAGACAAGGATTTTATATAGACATTACATCACCTGGACACTACCCTGTATTAAAGGACTTCTGTGTACCCAATTAAGTCAACTTTAGGAGAAGCAAAGGGAATATTTAAGGCACAGATAGCATATGTATCTGGTATGAGCATTAGTATGTCTTGACTACAGAAGTAACCCTACCAACCTCAACAGTTTTATCTTGTCTGTCCATTTATAGGGATGATGTCCTTTATGAGAAGCGACTGGGAAAGTGTCCTAGGTTCAGCAGTAGAAGTCATTTTTCTCCTTCTTAGTAGCTGGTGCAGTGCTGTGGTTTTGACTTTCAGCCTGGGAACAGCACTGATAACACCAATGTTTTTAGTTGCTGCTCAGTAATGTTTAGTCTGACCAAGGACCTTCTGAGTCTCATGCTCTGCCAGGAAGGAGGGGAAGCCGGGATGAAGCAGAGATAGGACAGCTGACTCAAATTAACCAAAGAGGTATTCCATATCACAGCATGTCATACCCAGTATATAAACTGGGGGCAGTTACCCGAAAGGGCTAGGTCACTGCTTGGGTCGGGCTGGGTATCAGTCAGTGGACGGTGAGCAGTTGTATACTTTTCCCTTGTTATTTCCCTTATCATGGTTATTACTGGCGGTAGCAGTAGTGGTTTGTGTTATACCTTAGTTACTGGACTGTTCTTATCTCAACCCATGGGACTTACATTCTTTCGATTCTCCTCCCCATCCCTCTGGGAGCAGAGAGAGGAAGTGGGGGGGGGGAGTGAGCAAGAGGCTACATGGTTCTGAATTACTGGTTGGGTTTAAACCACAATGGTTCTTTTTGGCAAAAGGTTGAGATAAGGACAGATTTGACCGGAGTGTGTCTAATTGTATTTGTGATAAGGAATCATTGTTTCAGATTAATAGTCACTCATCACAATGCTGATTTATTGGCTCTCAAAGTTGTAGCTCTTGATCTCAAGAGTTCCAGCATGTCGTACCTTACTTAGAGCCAGTATTTACTGGTTTAGTGTTCATTGGCTGGGGGGCCTGGGCTAAGGTTCTTGTTTCACTGTACTTTATGGTAATGACTTGTAATACAATAGACTCATTGATCATGAAACTGATCTGGCTTGCGTTCCCAGTGTGGTCATCATCTCTATACTTTGGGAGTTATACAATGGATGTGTTTAGCAATTACACATCTTTTTCCCTCTCCTCGGGTGGTCAGCCTATGAGGGAGACATGCATACACACCCTAGTGACAAGTACAACAGCTACTCAAACTCTGACTACAACAGACAGCACAACTCTGACTACAACAGTCAGCACAGCTACTCCAACTCCAAGCACAGCAGCTGTACCAACTCCAGCGACAAGTACAGGCAGCTACTCAAACTCCAACCACAACAGACAGTGCAGCTGCTCCAGCTCCAAGCACAGCAGCTACACCACCCCCAGTGACAAGTACAGCAGCATCATTTGAGATTTCTGAAGGTTTTGAATGGCCTTGCGACCTGCCTGCTGGTTGTGATGAGGATCACCATGTTTGCACACATACAGACTGTGTTTTACCCACAACCATTTTGTCTGATCTCAAAAGTTAAGAAGGGTTGGGTTTGGGTCTTGCCTAGGATTAGACGACAATATAGGAGGACCACCAAGAGATTATCCCTGAGGATGGACAGCCATGAGTGGCAGGGTGTGAGGCACTGTATGGGCAAGTATCTACTCCAGTGGGTCACTCCAGAGCTTTGGGAGAGTCAGAAATGGAAGGCAGCTGTATGGAGTCCCCAACGACAAGTTGCAGAAACTGTTGCAGAAGAAAAAGTGTGTTATAGTCAATCTGCCAGGCCTCCCCATATTTGTACTTCAGCCATCAAACTCCATACCAAAGAGTCTTTAACCACTTGGCTTGCTTAACTGCAACACATATTTCACATTCATGAATGACCTGGGCAATAGTGTCCATTGTTAAGTCCACCCCTTGATCATGAGTCCATCTCTATGCTGCATCTCCTGATGGCCTGAAGTCTCATGGGCCCACCGGGCCAAAAATAATTCACCCTTATGTTGCCAATCTACGTCCATCTGAGACACTTCAATCTTAGTGGCTTTATCCACTTGTTGGTTGTTCTGGTGGTCCTCAGTGGCCCGACTCTTGGGTACATGGGCATCTGCATGGCGAACCTTCACCATCAGGTTCTGCACCCTGGCAGCAATATCTTGCCACAGTGCAGCAGCCCAGATGGGTTTACCTCTGCATTGCCAGTTGCTCTGCTTCCATTGCTGCAGCCACCCCTATAGGGCATTTGCCGCCATCCATTGGTCAGTATAAAGTACTGGCCACTTTTCTCATTCAGCAATGTCCGAGGCCAGCTGGATGGCTTTCACCTCGGCAAACTGACTTGATTCACTCTCTCCTGCATATTCCTTATGCTTTGTCATGGACAAAATTAATAATCTGTATGTTCTTATCCAGGATATTTGCAATAAAAAAATAGCAAAAGAAGGTGTAGATTGAATAGAACCATAATAGTCTAATTATAGATAATCATAAAGTAAGGAGCCAGTTAGCTACATAATGAACTTTCACTAACTCTAATATCACTTATCAGTCCCCTAACCCCCCCCCCCTACCCCATGCAGGACCATGCTTTAATTCATATAAATCCACAACACTGTGGGCATTTAGAAAGAGGAGGAATGAATGCACCTCCTTGCTTATACAGACAATACTTAGACTATGTATTTGAAGTTCTCTGATGAAGGTAGTTGATGAAAAAGAGAATGATGGCCTTTTGAAGTGAATTAATCAAAGAGAGAGGCTCTGGAAAAGCTGTTTTCTCTCTGGAATAAGCTTGGGTTTCTCCACTGAATAGGTAAGAAAGCAAGGAGTGCCCTCGAGAAGTGCTACTGCTCAGAATTTCGCCCAAACATTAATTTGAAAAAACATACACTTCCTCTTGGGATAAAGATGATTTTAATGGAAAATATGCAGTCCAGAAAAGTATTCTGATTGGAATAGGACTAAGTATTTCACTGTTACACACACAAAGCATGCACTGCATCCTGATCAATCAAAAAAGAAGTTCTGGTAATTTCTATATAAATGAATCCAAAGGTGGGGGTAATTTCAATATAAATGAATCCAAAGGTGGGGAGGGAGAAAGAGGCAGGACTGATCTTCTGCAAAATATAAGGAATGCTAGGAATGAAAATATGTGAAACTCAGAGTCAGTATACAATTTTTTTTAAATTACTTTTGAAAGTTTCTACTAAAATCTTCCAAATCAGCTATTAATTAGTCTTTCATGTCTTTTTTCTCTCTTGCTTTTTTGAACCCCAAATGTTAAAACCAATTTTTAATTTTTTTCCCTTTTTTTTAGGAAAAGTGGGAAATTTCTGAAAGATTTTGACTTTCAGTTATGACGACGTACAGAGTTAAATATGTTAATAAATTCAGTCTGTTATTTTTGCTTCAGAACCTGAAAGATGCTGTGGGCACTTGCATTTCTGTAACAAAAAGTTAGGTCCACTGAGAACAGGGACAGAGAAAAGCATATAGGTAAAAAGGAAGTGGCACACAATTTTCATATTGGCTATAGTAGGGTACTGCTTAAAGTTTTTAAATTTTTTTTTGCCACAAAACAATAAAAAAACTAAAACATAGCAACTTGGAAAAAAAAAAAGAGCAAAAGGAAAAAACTCGTGGTGGGTTTGTTCTAGGAATAAAACACAGATGAGAATAGACTTTGTTTTCACCATACACGCTTAACACAGTTTGTCTTCTGGAATTTTTATTAAAGACAAGAAGTCATTAGCCACATTAATATTCAATGCTGTTTTATTGGGGAGATGTTTATATGCATGCTTCACTGCATTGTGAACAATGTGACTAATACAATTGCCTTTCATGATGTGGAAATTCTTGCTATGCAGAAATCTAAACACATAGCACTTCCCAAAATTTTATGAGAATGATCTGCTTCATAGGTGGTAACATTTCTTAACTTAATTTCCCTGAATTCCATCACTGTTCTATTTTCTACACACAGCTACATCTATTTCCCTAAATTCAGCCTAGGATCCTATAATTTTCTGTTGGGAATTAATTCACTTGAAAAGAAATGTTTAGGTTTTAAAATTGTTCTTACATCTTTGCTTACTCAAAAGTGAAGCAAATTCACCTTATTTTTTCCTTTACTTGATCTGGTTAGTCTTGGTAAGTGAAGTAACTACAATAATCTCACTGTTAAGCAGACTTATAAAATACATCAGATGAATACTTAAACCTAAAAGTGGGGGGGGGTTCCCACATTGACTACAAAGGATTCAAGGACATATGAAGTAGATAGGTAGATGTGTGTAAATGTGGACATGCAACCTCCTGCTTTTAAAACTTAGACTATTACTATACATGTTGAAGGAGCAAACAAAAAAAAAATAAAAACACAAAAATATGAAATACATAGTGGGCTATATAAAAGCCTACTGTCCTTCCTCTTCCACACATGATGAGGAATGATCTCAAAGAGAGTAACAAAATTAATGTTCAGTTATGCTTTTAGAAAACACAGAAGTAAAGATTTATACCCTTACAGGTAAGGTTTACCTTTATAATAAAATCTTCAGCTTATATCACTCAATCAAAATTGAAACACCCTTGCAAGAGAAGGGCTAGACACTAATCTGCTAAATCAACACAGCATGAACTGTACTTCATGTACAACAATGCCAGTTATTTTCCTGGGTAAATTCAAAAACACTCAGAAAGCCATCTCTGCAGGGAACTGTTATTTCATTTTTCTGCAAGCTGACAAGGTGCATCCAGACAAGATACTCTCTTGTAAGTAATGTGGAAAATTGATAAATACGTGAATACAAAAGGAGCAATATGCTGATTTGCACATGCACAGCTAAGGTACAAAAATACCTACTATATGAATAATACCTACTCTGTGAACAATATTGGGCATATATAGGAGGCTTGGTGCATTTCTGAATTAGAGAGGAGTAAAAATACAGATTTTCTAAGGCTGATCAATACATTTCTACAGTATAAAGGCTCTTGAATTCTTGTACAATATTTCCCTCTGGTAAAAATGTAGCTACTAAGGATTGTAACTAGGGCAAGGACCTACAATATGAGGCAGAACACTAAGTAAAGAGTTCAATTCCAGAGACAAACAAAAGTTAAAAAATGTACACATATCTTAGAGATAGGAAATGCTTTTGGGTTTTTATAACATTGACAATAGCATGAAAATGAGGTGCAGCTTAATGATATAAAATGCTGGGCTCTCCTACTTAGTCATGTAGAAATCCTTTCCCCAGTATCCTGAATGAGCACTCAAGGATTATTTCTTGGAGAACACACTAACAGAAAATAACATGAGATCCTCCACCATTTACCTCCCATTCAGAATCCGTACAATGTGTTTTACCAATTTATAGTTGTGAAGTTACATATTTAACCACTTTTTCCTACTATGAATGATGGTTTAGATTAAGGATTGTAAAAACTTTATGATTGGTATTAGGAAGTTGACTCCCAAATCACTTGATATTGGGTGGCCTGAATCCTTTCAAAAATCCAAACTGTAGTATTATAATGCATATAAAAGAACATAGTTTCTCATAGTGGGCAAGAGTCTAATTCTCAGCTGAATGTTTTAATAATTCTAATACTACTAATACAGTAGAAATATTTAGTGTAATGTGGAGAGAAACTACATTTCCTGCATCAGAACAGTATGTTCCATCAGGTAAGTCAACTTATATGAATAAGAGAAAATGCAGAATGTCAGAATCACAGTATAAAATTGGAGAAGATTTCTATTTTAAATAGGTGGCATTTCTAAAAAAAGATAGAATTAACATAAGGACCTTTGAAAATGACAGTCAAGTATTGTATTAAATATTTGGCATGATATTAAAGGAAGTGGCTGCAGTTGATCATAAATGGAATCCACTATTAGATGATGTTTTCACGCTACTCTTCTTTTACTAATCACTATCTCCTGATATCAGTGCATAAAGAATAAAGTTCTGACAATAGCATAAGTGATCCTTTCAGTTCTGCTTTATTTTGTCATTTTATAGGGAGACTGCACTTATATT